TAATAAATAAAAGCTTTTAAAAAACCAATATAGACTAAAATATTAAATCCTGGATCCAAAAGAGAAAGACAACTCATAACAAAGTGATTCTATAAGCACAAATGTTCCTGAAATCCTTGGTTGAAAATGTAGAACATGAACAATACCCTGGCTCATGACTGTGGAAAAAACTGTCTTCATTTAAAATGTTTGTCATCAATGTAATACCATCTTTAATTATAATTAATGCAAGGGACTTTTATATGCTGGAATGGTAACAAGAATTCAGCTTTTACAAAGGCACACATTTCTTAATTACAGTGGAGATTGATCTTAACATGGAGTGAAGAATAATGCGTAAAGGTGTCAAAGATACAATGAACCGAAGACATTACAGTAGCTATAACTTGAAGTACAGACAGTCAGGAAGTACTCTATGAGTGACTTTTAGAAAGACATGTTTATTTCCCTCTGTTAATTACTAGGATTTTTTTCCAACTTTGGCCAAAAGTGTTGTTTAGATTTGTAGCTATTGGCATTTAATTTGTCAGGAACTGAACTGCCAAAAGCTCCATCTCAATCTTATCTTAACCAGTTTACAGTGATGTAAGCACTTGCCAGGCTTCTTGACCAGCTGCCAGAAGACACTGGTCACCATTTTGGTTAAGTCCTCCTAGAATTAAAATACAGCTGATATTGAGACCCAGGCACCAAAAACTATTCAGGATACCCAGTTCCAGCTAGTGCTGCTGTTTGCCTCTATATATTCTCATCCTTGTGACATCTATGCACCTGGGTTATTTCATGGCTGTGCTCACAGTTAGAGAGGAAGATAAAAAACTACTACTGTATAGCAAACCGAGATTAGCTTTGAAGTCCTTTCATCAGCAGTGACCAATGAGGAACGTTTCCTTTCATTTTGCATGCAATGCAATTGCGACTGTACAGCCACGGAACTCTCCGTTTGGTCTAGGGCTGTGTCTGCTCACACCGACTGCCAGTGTGTATCAGTTGATGCTAAACTTCAATTACGTTTGCTTCAGCAAGGGTCCTTGTGGTTGGGCTGCAGCCTGTTTCAGGATACTTGAAAATGTAGCCTTTCCCATTTTACAGTCTCAGATATTGACAATTGTGCAAGGGAACTTTGTACACTTAGGCAGCGGTTAGAGAAGATTATTGTGCTGCATGAAGTTGCTATATCTAGCTAAAAAGACCAAGTAACTATGAATTTCAGTCCTTGCTGATGTTGGAGTGAATTTTGCTTTTTTTTTATATAGCCGTAACATGAAATATTACAGTAAATGAGAAATAAAAAAATATTTCTTTATAGGTAAGTTGCATCTTAAATCATGTCAGAAGCCTGAAATATTATAAAAAGCCCTCATGTAACCTAGAATGGCAAAAGAGCACTTTGACACACTACTCTTGTTTGTATGCATACCTAAAATGTGTGACTGTAGTATGATGCAACCACTATCTGAGTTTAATCAATTTTAGCACAAATAACAGTGAAGAAGCAATGACACTGACTGTAAGATACATTTGTCTACAGTAGCAGCCAGAGACAAATGCTTGAAGTGATCTGCATAAACAAATTTTAACGACAATCTGGGTGTTGGCATGCTGAAACCTACATAGTTGCAACTGCACTATGCTTATCCATGTCAGCTAACACAGAAATGTAATCATGTGATTCTTGATTTTGTATTTATATACCCTTCATGGAGCAGCATAATTTATCTCACCAAACTTCATCTGTTTAAAGTGTGGGCATTTACTTGAAGGCATGCCTTTAACCTCTTATATCCATTCCAGTTTTCATCGATTTCTACCGAAAGACAGTATGAATGATCTGCTTGTCTTTTCTTTGGGTATGGAGGGAGGCATAAAGTACATGTATAAACCTCAAAACATTCCACTTCAAGAAATTATTCTCATCTAAACAAATCCATCACATAAAGCTAAAAGACCTTAGAAAATACAGCATCTTTCTTTATTATCCTTTGGGCATCAGAATACTCGGCAGACATATGAATTACCAACTTCACCCTGAATTTGTGGAAACTGAGCAAACCAGAGCAAACATTCACAAAAATGACCACCAATACAGACAGACTGATCTGGTTTCCAGTCAAAAACCTGTTCAGCTCCAATTGAAATGGTAGCTTCTCACTAACTATGAAAAATAAGAGTAGGATCTTAGAAAACACAAAGGTTGCTTTTGAATAAAATGAATGCCCAAAGTCATTTACAGTCAGTAACTGACTTGAGAACAGAAACTTAATACCATCTTCCTTTTTCACACAGGCATATAACAATAAATGAACAAGCCTTTAAAAATATAGCAGGAAACACAAATTTCATTGATAATAATCTTGCAAAGTATTTTTATAAATATGAATAAAATAAGCATGCACGTAACCAAGTTCAAATAGATATAAGGTTTACATGCTCTTCATATAAATTGTAATGTATATTTCCCACAGGATTCTCAGGATTGCTTTTAAAACATTACAAAGGGTGTAGAATAAAAGCTACAATGGAAATTACCTGATTTAAAGTTCTACTGTAAATTGCTGTGTGCATCTCAGGAGCTTTCACTGGTCCCTAGTACATGCTCAGCAGCTCACAGGCACACTCAGCAAGACTGGAGTAACAAGAAGCTATGAACTCTGTAAATGTTTGTTAGTGTTTCAAAAAGTATTCTACCTTTTCGGATGAGATGACTACAACTGAAAAAATTCCCAACACCCAAGAACTTACTTGAATGCATAAAGCATTTCTGCAATTTGCATTTTTACCTTTAAGCAAGACATACAAGATGAATTGCTGTTGACTAAACCATCTTTTTTCGCAAAGCAATGTTGTAGTATGGGAATTTACTGTTAGCTGATTACATTTATTGATTCACAATGTTGAATCTGCCACTCCTGATAACCCAAAGTTGCAGATGTTGCCTATTCTGTTGAAAATGACTTTCCTTTTTAAAAATTTTCTAAGATGTCTTGGAAATTTGTCTCAGTATTAGGGGTATTTCAGCAGGGATGCTATTGAATAATTTTGTCAACTGATGACTTTTAAGCATCTAAATTCAGACATTACGTAGTTTAAAACCCCAGTATTTCACCCTTGGTACCTGCAGTGTTACTTGCCTCTCAGCTTACCAACAGCAACTGAAATCAATGGAAAAAATAAAAGTCAAAGTTTCCAAGCTAGTCATGTAGGGATTTTATAAAAACAATTTTTCGTCACAGAGAAATGAAATGTCATACTGTGAGGACTGCTGCAGATAATGTCTAATCACTCTTGACTGAAGCTGAGGATAAAGATATCTTCTTCATAGACAACAGACAAAGTTGCCATGAGGCTCCTAGACTTTCACAGACCTCTCTACATGGTACCAATGGGGCAATTACAGAATTTCAGACTGCAGTTACACAAAGCTTTCCAAACATTTTGCAATATTATTCCCAAGGAAATTTTGCAAATGGGCAAAAAAAATCTACAGAATCTGAATACAAACTACAGTTATATTTTCAAAAAGAAAAAAAAGTATTAATTTTAACCTATGTATGAGACTATTCTTTTCATTAATATATGCACATATAATTTCACTACAATATTTTTTGATGTTATATGTTGATTTTTACAATGACATGTACACCAGCTTGGGGAAATTGTTTCTTAAAACATTCCACATGCTGAATGGTCTTTATACTACTTGTCTACCCTTTCACAAACCGCTAAGTGATCCTTAAAGACTCTTTAGTCTGCTTATTTTTCTTAATCATCATTGCATCTGTGAGGATGCCATTTACCCAAAACTAATCCAAGATTTCATGGCACTTGAGTGACCATCTTTAAAAGAAAGACAAAAGGAGGTCTTCACTTCACTGCCTCTGAGTAGAATTGCAGCAGTCTTTACCAGGCACAGAATGCCAACAGACAGGAAGTAATTTAGCGTTATGTCATAAGCCTGAAACTTTTCTGTGTTCTCTTTTTTGAACTGCTTACTGATGAATCAAAGCATAAGTTACAGTTTAAACTTTGGGGGTTCTTTTTTTTTTTTTTCTGTATAGCAATTATTTCATGAATCATATTATGCTCCTTGGAATTACATTTTCACCTTTCTAATCAAGCAGGAACACATTTAGCTATGGCATGTGACTTATCCCAAACAGGCATTTGTGAAAATAAGAACAAGTGTACATATAAGTGTACAAAAGAGACGAAATACATAAACTGCTATGAAGCCAACCTCATTCTGCATATTCCATTTGATCGTTCATGAGGCTCTGAGCCAAAATTATTCCATCAAGCCTGTATAACTATGAAGCAACCCAGAATATAATCAAACCAGTCTAGGCTGAACCCTGGTAAAAGGTCACACTACAACTACTGACCTGCTACTCCAAGAACTTGTGATGTAAGTGAGCATAAAAACTACAGTCACCCAAGGAGGTTCACCATTCTAAGAACTGCTGACTAAGTCAGTAATTCTTGAAAATTACTGATGCAGGCGTTTGTCAGAATTAATTCAATATTATTATGAGGATAAGCACAGCCTTCCTGTATTATCAGACAATTGGCTTCAGTTAAAGTTCTAAGATTATTCTTTTGAATAGAAAACCAAAAAAAATTCTTTCAGCTTAAAGTCATGTTTCAAGTCTCATGTTTCAAGTCATGTTTCAAGTCATGCCTAAAGTCTCAAGTTTCAAGGTCCGTGAATCTCAAAGTGATCTGAACCACATATTGGAACTGAAAGTAGCTCCTAGCTTTATGAACAATGCATATTTTAGCAAGAAATTCTTCTTATCATGTTGCCAGCATTTCCTGCTTTTCCTTCCTTCACAGTTGTCTTCCATAGCAACATAAACAGCACTGAGAGCAGAGGTCATTTTCTCCTCTAATCTGGCCATTCAATTAGTAGCAAAAGATAAGTATTACGTAAAGGAAGGGAAGGTGCTGACAGGCCTAGGAAAACTCTGTTCATTGGCAAGGAATTTTTTTACTCAACTTACCTTCTCCTGATTCTGGCAGAGAAGACAATCACATTCAAAGCAATACTGGCGCACCAGCTGCTTTTGGCGCTCGCTGGTAGGCATCAGTGATTCAATATAGCTGATGGTGAGCTGCATGCAGTACATAAAAGAACAGAGTTGGTATATTTTACAAAAATTCCATTTTCAGTGTATGTATAGCTAAGGTAACATTTTTTGGATATAACATTTTTTCCAGCATAAAATACAATGTTAATAGACTATTCTCTAGAAGAAATTGCCTCCTTTTACAAAGAGTGGGAAAAAAAAAAGGACAAAAATAATTTCTACAGAAGAACACTTCTGCACATTTCAAGATCAATATTCTTTGAAATTATTAATCAACCCCAAATTATCACTATTTCAACTTTTCATTCTAATTTGGAAGATAAAGAAAAAAGAAAGGAGAGCAAGAAAGGAGAACAAAGAAAGTCAGTATTTGAATTCCATGTGAATGAAATCTCATTTTCTGTCTAACTTCAAAGTTTAAATGTGTATTTACCACTGCTGTTATACAACATTCCACTATCTCCAAAAATTTTTTCTCAAGGAAGTCCCTACTTTCTTATATGTTTGAGCCTAAGGATAATTCCCCCTATGTCATACCCATATTCAGTATGTCTGTGATGTTTCCCTTGTGACCAAGGAAGCACAAAAGCATTGCAGTCTAAGTTGTTGAAACTATTGACAAGAACATTAATTAAAATGATAAAAGAAAATTTGTGCCTACATTTGTGCCATTTTCAACTCCTCATGCTGTACAGAGTGAATTCCAATGAACTACAGAGAAGTCTGTAGTTTGTTCACTTTGACGCCTGCCAGAAGGAATTTTACAGGGCTAACCATTTGTAGAGTTCTTGAAATGTTTAAAGTGCTGCACAGGCACAAACTAATGACAAGGAAAAGAGTATAACAAAAAAACCCAGTCCAGTTCAGACCAGCATGCAGTCAAATATGCTATTGAGTGATTACACTATGTGCCCAACACACTTTGAAACATTATAGAGAGGTCAGAGCTAAAAAAAATCAGGTCATTATTTCATCCTGAGCCTAGACACTTCAACTAATTGGTAGAATTTTCACATGGTCCTCAGTTAAATCATGAGAGTCCACTCAAAGAAATTACAGGAAAACCTGACCAATTTGTAGCAATGACTACGAAATCCATTATCAGAACCTGCATTTTGCGAATTAGCGAGCATTCTAATTGAATGAGCAATTAAGAAGCAACTAAAACAATGCCTGCTTTCTTTCTTGCTTGCTATTACAGTGTAATTTGATTACATACTGAAGGAGGACTGTATTAAAAGAAGTCTACTGAGATGGAAAAATTAAGTATTTAAAATTATCATAAGCAGAAAGCCTGCAGAAAAAAATAAATATGGTCTCATAATGAAGATTAATAATATAATTAATGAAAGAGACAAATAAAGTTCCATAATTAACCAAAAGTTAGAAAGTGTGAGAACTTTTAGGTTTGCATTCTATATAATGTTGTTCTGTCCCAGTTTGTGCATGTCTGAGCCAAGAAAGGATTAGTTTCACCACTACTGGCTTACAGCAGAACAGAATTATAGGCTTCCCTCTGATCTTTCTACAGTGAATGGATGGAAATTGTGCTGCCTATTTATTTTCCACTCTTTTCTCCCAAGCTTGATATCTTCTGCCCCATTATCTCCAATGTCCCTCTTATTCTTTCTCTTCTCTACCCCTCAACATGAGTATAATTTTCCTGTCTTATTCTCAACACCTGATTATCTAAACTTGTTTTCCATCCCTCAATTCTAGCTCCTTAAATAGCCATTCTTGGTACAATGGGATGACTTCATCAATGTGCCAGTCTCAGATCTGTCCTTATGCCTCATCTAACACCTTTTCCCCATATCTGATCACCTACACACTTACTCTCCCAAGTTAAAAGTCCTTGTTGCCCTACTCTGTTTTCCCAAACATCTTCAGTGATCCCAAAAACTTTCTCCTTGCTTCTTTCTACAGCTGGTTCTAATCTGCAACTTCCCTAGTGTGGCAAGAAAGATCTGTCTCCCTTCCTTTCCACAAAGCATTTTCCAGCCAAGCTGCAGTCCTAACCTCATCCTTCAGACATTCCAAACCCAATTTCCCTCTCCCATCACAAGCCTCCTGATCATTGTGCCTCCTTACAACTCGCAAGTGTTTTCTGTCAAAATCATTCCACACAGGCTGTTCCCTGTCTCTTATCCTCTGCATAAACATCTCTGGTTCTGACCCATGTCCTACTGGGCTTTAGGTTCAGGTGGCATCCAGAAGTAAAAGGGATTTGACCAAGTTCAGACACAGTGCAAGACAGTAGGAATCTTCTGGGAGAAATAATTCATGTGAGATTAGTCTACTCTTTGCCAAAATATTTAAGACAATGCTTTAAACCCTATCATTACTATTGAAACCATCATTAGGCCGGGTTTAGATCTAATGCTGCAAAACAAACACAGAGCCAATACTTTATCTATCATCAGCCTACAGGCTTCATCCCTTTCTCTTTTTATATTTTTGGCTTTTTTTTTCTTTCTTTTTTTCATTTATGTTGCAGAAACCTTGGAAGTAGAAACAAGTTTGAAACAAGTAGTTTCTTTTTCAGAGGTTATCAAACAGTTGTGGATATGAATAGTCACATAACAACCCGCTCTGGATTAGAGCATTATGACTGGGCATAAGGAGGAAGACAAGAGGCTTTTAGCATTTTAACAACTTAAGAGTTTCTCTTGCTGTCAGAGGCCTGAGTTCAAATTTCCAGTCCTACCAGCAGAAATCCATAAGTTGTAGCTCGCAGCTTAAGTGGGAAAATATAATTAGAATATTTAGAAACATGACCAACCTAACAGCGACTAAGCCTACACTAACCATTTAATTGTCTAAAAATAAGAATTCTGTATTCAAGTCTCTCTTACACTTGTTTTAATTTTGGATCACTTCATTAGAGGCAAGGCTCATTTAACTTGTACGTAGTTAGGAAATATGCACATTTATCAAAGGTTGTCTTAATGGTGTTTGCATGTGGGATGTATGCTATTAATTAAAACATTATTTCAGCTGACCAAAGCTTGACTCTTTATTGCATCGCTTATGAAGAATGCAGTAAATCTTTTGCCCCGAGCTGAAGAATATATATTAAAAAACAATTATGAAGGCATGAGACTTATTGACTCAAGACATTCAGCACTCCCTGAGCCCTGCTTCTCACTTTGACACAGAAATTCTTTAACCATGGGTATGATGGTTAGTTTCTCACGTTCCTCATTTGCCAAATGAGGTGGACACAATTTTCCAGTACTGCCATGCTGCAGCGGACTTAATTTATGGGGTTTTTTTTGTAACAGACTATAAGCTACAAAATGTCTAGATAGAAAATTCTGTAGGAATTTAAAATTAATTATTTTAATGCAAACAGCAGGGAGAAAAAAGTGAATCTTGTTTTTGCAATCATAGGTCTCAGGGTCTTAGAGAGGGTTTTGTACAGAAGTCTGTTAATAACACAGAGTTATAGACTGTTATGGGTAACAGTCTATGCTCTTTCTGCTTTGGCATAAAAGATCAAAATACCTTCTAACTCAACAAAAAATTTGGTTTTAAAAAATGTAATGTGACAAAATGTAATGTGGCAAACATACAGCGATATAAAACTTCTCATAGAATTTCAATAACAAAAACATTATATAATTTGGTTGAAATCTATCTTGAAAATAGATTTAATTGATCATCCGAAATCATGATCTGTGTTTAGTATTAATTTAGAAAAAAAATGATGCTCTGCAAGGGTACAGTCAGTTATGTGATTTTCTGAAGAAAGATACAAATTTGTTGTAACTGAACTCTGAAGCTGATGAGAAGCCAAGCACCCATTTTGGAGCAGAATTGCACCTCAGCTAATCCATTCTGTCTCTCTCTGCAGGACTAATTGCTTTGAAGGTATACAACTTTTTATCGGAGAAGAGGAAAAACCAGCTTGTGCCTGCCTGCAAAACACCAGGTAAACTCAGCAATTAACAAAAAGTCAATTGAAATTGTAGCACACATCTTGATGCTGTTTCAAGTGGTTACTTAAGGGTAGGGAAAGGATGAAGACCTCTTCAGAGCAGGTTACTTGTCTTTTTGACAAAACTGGCTGATAGGCTACCTTATCACTAAAGGAGCCCTCATAATCTCTAGGTGAATAATTTTTGCTTTCTTATGATCCTTCCCCATATCTTACCTTTCTTTGTGAGACCTAAATTTCATTTCTGTGAAGAGGAAAGTGCAAGAAAAGGAAAACTTTGTATGCTGTCAAATTAAAATCACCTCAAGTTATCAGAACTGTGATAGCACTACAGAGAAGTTGTGAAGTTCCCATCCCTGGAAGAGTTCAAGGCCAGGTTGGATGGAGCTCTGAGCAACCTGATCTAGTGAAAGGTGTCCTTGCCCACACCAGGGTGGTTGGAATCAGATGATCTCTGAGGTTCCTTCTAACCCAAGCCATTCTATGATTATCTTGATGGGCAAAAATTTGTTATAATTAGTTTTGAGCTGCTGGAAGCAAGTTTCAGAATTCAGAAAGTCCTGCAGTCTTCAGTAGGGATGTATAGAAAAAAGTCCCCACAAAAATCTATCAGTTTTTTTTCCTTCACATTATTAGACTCAATTATGCTCAAAAACCTGCTATAGAATAGTCTACAGAGCCTTAGTGGCCCTTATAGCCACCTTGACCCCACATCTATGCATGGAGATCAACAGTTGCTCCCAAGCCTTCTTCTCCTTTCACTTCTTTTGTCCTCTCCTGTTTCATTCCCGTGATGCCACTTTCAGGGCAGAAGACATTTAAATGTAGCTGATCAAGCACCAGAATTTGGGGTACTAGCATAGACCCATACTGCCTTATATGAATTATAACAGAGTCAGAACAAGGAGAGGTAAGTTAAAAAAAGAAAGGTTACCAAGCTTGAAGGAAATTTTCTAACAGAGCCAAGTTTTCACTTTAAAAATTCTACATTCAATGACCATTTTAAATGTCATTTAAATAAACTATATAATGACAGAAATGAAAGCCTTTATTCTGAATATCACCTAAAGCATTCACTGGCAAAAACCCATGGGAACAGTTTGCTTTTGTTTTAAATGGTAACTTTCTACCCTCAAAAAGCATAAAACATCATTAGCATAAAAATCAAATAATATACTTAAATATAAATCTGGTTTCCAAAGCAAAATTTAAGGACCACATACTTCTTACTATTTCTGCAACACACTGACTTCTTAAAGCTTTCACCTGGGAAACCACGCTATTACACATGAATCCCTTCTTTCAGTGCCCTCGAAAAAAAAGTAACATTCATGACTCATTATTTTGTAGCACTTCAGGACTGTCAACACTGTCTTTGCCACAGAAAAAAGGCCTAGATTGCTAGGGTATGGTTTTTGGGAGTGATTAGTTTTCCAAATATACAACACCACCAAATTTAGCAGTTTCATTCTATAAGGATACAGGTAAAATTCAATTAAAGCACACAAAATGCCACATGCTTTCCTGTCAAAAACATTCAAAGCTGAAGAAATTTGCCTAGACATGAGATTAAAACTGAAATGAAACAACTTCAATCAGAATATAAAAACTTTTTGAGGTTCTCATAATTTTGCATGCTTTTTATCACTGACATGATAAATATAATTACTGCGTATAGCTTGAGTATTCTGAAGTGTGGTTGGGGCATAAATGTTACTCCTGAAAAAATCTGCACTACACTGCAGCAACTACATCCAATGTAATAACTTCTAGTTTACAACCAAAATAATATCTAGTGGTTCCTCCCTCCTTATATGATTGTGCGATGACCACAGCAGCGCACGAGCTCAGAGCCCTTTGTTTCTGTTTTCCCTGTGACTATAGGAGTTCAACAACTCCTTAACGTGTACACTGCTGTAGTGTACTCTGACAGAAAGTACTACAAATGTGCAAAAATACTTCTACTTCTCACTGGCCTAGTGAACATATCATATTGCAGTGGCTGATACTTTCAGGGCAACAGTCCAGAGGCGCTATCAAGTTTGTTCTTGTATGGACAGGAAGGCCATAGTCCTCTTCTACTAATCTGAGCTTGACTTGCTACTTAGCTTCTTACTCCTAATTAATTTTGTGCTTACTTCCTTTTTATTAATTATTATATAGGGAATCTCATTCTGTCTGACTCTATTGTAACAGGATAAGACAAATTTTCTAGTGATTATATTTAAGTTTTCTTGTTGCCCCATGGCTTGAAATAACATTCATCTTACCATCTCAAGGCACCCAATCTGTTCAGAAAACCCAATCAGATTTCTCCCTAATATATTTTCTCTCCCATTAGCTCAGATTCTGACGTCTGTAATAGAAGTTAAAACTCAGCTTGTAACAGGTGATGTAGTTTTATGTACATATGTGTGTAAATTCAATACACGGCTATTAATAAAACTCAGCTCACCCTACCTCAGGCAAGCAGTATGGCAGTGTGGAAAGAAGTTGTACCAAAGTCACCATGCAGAACACAAAAGGAAAAGCGGTAGCAGTAGTGTATGACGAAAAGTAATTGTTGAAAATAATATTGAACTGCTGACTTGTATATACCCTCAAAATAATTTTATTTCCCTCCCTCTTCCCATAACAGATCTAAGTTAATACTGACTTTGCAGCTTTATTTTGTCACTTAAACCTCAAGCCATTCTTCTTCCATAGACACATCCTTATTTAAAGAGTCACGTACCTCAGACTGAGACTTTTATTTCCAGGTAAGTCAAGGGGACAGCTGCTTTAACATAGTATGTAGGTTTACATGTTCCTTAAGGTAAGTATTCCTTTCGCTACCAAACCCATAAGGAACAGTTGCAACAAAGACACTAGAACATGAGCTCTTTGGAAAATTCTGACTTTATTTTCCCACCTCAATGGTGGCAAAGTTTTTTAGAAAATACAATATGCCCACATAAGGTGCAGTCATTTTAAAGCCTATATTAACACAACTGCAAAGTCACCACAAACAAACTAGTCCTTGCTGCCCTGCTTTGTAATTTACATATATTTCCTGATTGCCTTACAAGGAACTAGTAAATTACACCGTATCTGTTTCACCACCAATTTTAATCTAGAGATTTCTGGGGGCTACAGACCACTAACACAAAGTCTAAAATTCGGGTCACAGCTTCACAGCCATAGTACAGTCTGCACATCATACCTGCACAGAATTCTACTTCACTTCTCGCTCCAGAACCACCCAGGGCCACATCAGGGCCTCTCCACTCAGTAAAAGCTGCTTCTCACAAAGAATTGCCTTATGAAATTTACTTAGAAAAATATACCCAGGTACAAATTAAGATAGCTTCAGAATCTTACGCTTTAATAATTAAGCCAAAGGCATCCTGGAAGACATTAAAATCTACAGTATTTTTAAATAAACAACCCATGTAAGTGAACTGGGAAGCCAAGAGGAAAGTTATGGTTTATGGATAAAATAGAAGAAAGGTGTCTATAATTTGGCTTAAACAAGAATGACAGACTAAAAGATGTCTACATTAAATAGCTCCACAAATATATATTGCATCCTAAAAAATTTCTCTTAGCAAAAATGCAAAAACATTTCTGCTGGTTCTTAACAAGGTTTTACCTAAAAAAAAATATTTTACCATTTACTTATTTTCATGGCCTACTATATGTGAGAAAAGATACATTAAAAAAAGAAAAACTTCATAGGAAGGAAAAGAGATACTACTTCTCAATTAGAATATATATGCTTTTCATATTCTTGGGGTTTTAAACACAGGTGTGAACTGTATTTACATTAGGTCAGGATTTTGAAATGACCAACAGCTGGGACTGTGTAGGTCATCAGTGCATTTAAAGTTACATTTGTACACACATCTTTGCAGGTCTTATTAAGCACATTCAATACTGCATTGCTGCAAAACACATTTATTTTGAAATTATTTCCTAGACACAAATTATTATTTTCAAATTAGTACAAATGCCATCATAAAGTTGAGAATAGCTTAGACCAAAACAGAAATCTCTTGAAAAGGATATTTTGAAGTCTTTCCTAGTGAAATGGACAAGAAAACAAACCATGTTTTGCTGCTCGCCCTGTCAATGAAAGGTTTACTACAACCGCATGGTTGCAGGCAGACAAATGCTTGTTGTTGCAATGACTTAGTGAACACTGCATTCCACTCAAAAATATTCTAAGTGTTCTGTCAGGGTAAAGACATCCAAAAACAAACAAAATGAAGTGCCTAGAGGAGGAAAGGAGGAACAAGAATTTATCAAGACTGCTAGTGATTTATGAGAAGTAATGATTATGGGGCCCAGGCAGTGTGAAGAGATTATTCTATTTATCATTTTCCCCCCTGATAGCTATGTGCTAGAAAGTGGCATCAATATATCATCAAAATATTAAGCTGGTGGCCCTGCAGTCTGGAATTTATTTAGGGAGATGTCATTGTTGCAGGTGTCTGTGACGGAAGGGAGGACAAGTTAATTACCTCTTCACCAATCTGGATCTCTCGGACAGAGCGAAGTAAAAGCTGATGTCCTTCAAAAACGATCACACAGTTTGGGTCACAGCTGTGGTTCAGTAAAGACATGCTGTGAGGGGTGGTAGAGGGGGAAAGAGAGAAAAAAAACTTAACAGAGGAGTCTCCATTGTCATTTCCCTTCAATAATTTAAAAGCATCTAACATGATTATACGTGAACCATCGGGCAATTAAGCTATGAAACAAATAAAATCCCTGGTAAATCAACTGCTCTTGGTTAGGGGAGGAAAATTAATACTCAGAAGATTTATATTTATTGCTAATAGGAGCCATGCCTGGATCTCTTAAGATGTTTCTGCCTTCTCTGTCATCAGGCAGGAGGGAGGCAATGGCCTCCCAGCAACTCACCTAGAGGCCTGACTCAGGGGACAGGGCAAGTGGGGAACAAGGTTATCTGGACAGTTCAGAGCGAAAACTCAGCCTTTGGGCTGAATTATATTTCTGCTGCTTCTGCTCAGTCTCAGGGCATTAACCTTATCACTTACCTGACTGTCATTGGAACCACAGCTCAACAGGGCCAACAATCAACCTGTATTTCATATCAGGAGAAAATGGAGTATACTATGTCCCAAAGCCAAAGAATTTGGTGTATAGAGTTGAAAGAAGAAACATGGCCATTGCCTCTGTTTTACACATATTTTCATCCAGCCTCTGTTCTTGTGGCATGTGACAGCTGAAGCAGCACTGACCATTAGGGAGCTGCTGCCACCCTCAAGAGACACACATGCTGTACAAACATGCCCTTTCCTCTTCTTGAAGGATGCTGTTAAGAACAACATGTCACTATATACTGTGAGTCACGTGTTGCATTAGCTGAGAAACAACTGCCTTTGCCAGACCAATCTCAGTTCCATAGCAGAAGTGGGGCTGATGGTTCTTTCCCTATGGGAATGACCCATTGAAAGAATGATTCTGGCATCATCAGCCTGGAAGAATTTTTGGCTTATGCAGCTCCTGGCTGCGTTTATTTGCTTTCCTTGTCTGCCTGATTCAGCAACTCAAAATCTCAGCTGTTGGCAAAATACAGGATGTTCCCAAGGGTCAGAGACCTGCACCAAACTATGTTTATTCAGTTTTTGACTCTTAAAGAAGGTATCAACAGGATCTTGACTCTTCTGTTATCCCTTCTGGCCTAATAAAATATCTGTGGTTAACCTCCACAAGAATCCAGTGATGTATGCTAGGAGAGAGTATCCATGACACTTACTGTGAGATCATTGGGCATACTCCCAAAGCTGCTGGCAAGGTGATGTAAAGCAGGGCCATAGGATTTTATAGATTTTAAAATATGTTGTGATGTTGAAGCCATCAAGCCATACAACAATGTTTAGTCTCTCAATAAGGCTAAACAAAGCACTTTTAATTAAATTTCATTTCATAGAAACATTAGTGGGTTTGATGACAATTTCCTCTGGAAGCATATGAATTCATCAGGAAGGACATTTGCCCAGGATTAGCAAAGTGCAGATTTAAGTTCACAGTTTTCCTAGCTCAGAGTGGTTTGCTACAGCAAATCTCAAACTGCTCTGAAGTGACTTGAGAAAGAGTCTCTTGCATCCCTTGGCAATGCGTTATCATTGAACATAGACAGAACATAGACACTTTATTCACAGTTAGGGGCTTTTTTCAACCTAAAGGAAACATTTCTCTAATAATAATGCTCCAAAATAATATTTCTTTTCTCTCAAATGTGAAAAGTATTTGTTTGCATTCCACTATGAAATCAAATGTTTTGCACTTTCCATAACACCAATTACCATGTCCTCCTAACCAACTTTCCCTTAACCTTACCATAAGGCAGGCCTCAAGATATTAAGTTTCCTTAGTCAAATCTTGCATGTGTGACATTAGTAGGAAAAGAATCAACAGTGAGAGGCCCACTGAGGTACTGACAAAATGGTCCAACCATTCATTAACAAAAAATTTAGGTAGTAAAATGTCATTTTAAATTATACATACTAATTTTCCATATTAATGATTACAGGTAACTAATTCTATGAAGATAAAACCTTAACTGGGACATACTTCTTACCTAATACAAATAAGAAATTCAAATTCATCTCCCAAGAGACTTATCTTTTCACCTTAGTGGTTTGTTTATTGTGGCAATTTACTAAAACATACTCAATCTTTTCATTTTAATTGCCAATTCTGAAGGCTCTCTGCTGCAAAATATCTGTATTCTAAAGCATCACTGAACAGGTTTCCTTTAACTAGTCCCAGTTACGTATTTTTGATGTCAGCATTTATTCTTACTTAGAAAAGACTACCACCTCCATAAAAATAAAATATAAAGATGTATCTTATTTAAACTGTTTTAATGCTGTAATCAGGGCTATTAAGAATGTTTTCAACTAGATCATATTTTTTATTCTCCTTTAATTTATTTCCATTTCCCAGTTTCTTGTTTAGACATGTTACCTTCTGCTTTGATGGCCCTTACAGCTACCTTGAAAAAAAGGGAAAAAAAACTAACATAGATTTTGCCTGTGAATGAAACAGTGTCCACAGTACCTGGGATACAGGCCAACACCAACATCCTGCATCTCTCCATTACTGATGGTGAAACAGTTACAGGTCACCTGTAAAAACAAAGGAAAAAATCCAGGATTACTAGAATCATTTTGAAACCCCACACTCAAGTGAAAAAAAAACCTTCCAAAATAAAACGAAGGGGCAATTGGTAAATTGGATGGAAAACATTCAAGCCCAACACTGGTGCTCTTTCATTTTAGAGTAATCACGTCTGGGACACACTCTCCTGTAAAACTGCTGTCAATTAGAAACAGAAATATAAGTATCCTGCAAAAATGTGGGGTTAAATACATGCAGAGACCCTACTTTCCTGTCCAGAGAACAAAAAAAAGCCACCCTACACAGAGCCTGAGAAGCTCAGCCCAGAAACAACATAACAGATCACAGTGACTACTGATGAAAGGAGTGGCTGTTTCCACGCAGGGACTCTGCTGACATCAGGCTGTTACAGCATATTTTAATGACTAGCAGTGAAGCCCAAAGAATATATACAGGACAGTTTTGAAGTAAATAGCAGCTCTGGTTGTGGCAACCTGATATGGATACAAATAAATGCAAAGACTGTGCAATAACATATCTTTCACATTATGGGAATTTTGGTTTGCACGTAAAAGATCCCACAACAAAGCACGTTCAAATTGCCATTCAAGAGAAATATAACCTTTCTTTTAATCTCAAATATTCAGCTTGTAAGTGTATTCTTCCTTCATACAATCATACAAAGATAAAGTAGTTCTAGAAAAGGAAGGAGAAGCATGGAAGACACCTGCAAGTAGATATAATTCTACCCCAAACTATCAGACTGAAGTTTCTTGGTGTTCGAGACACATCAGCACTTAGCAAATTATTAGAAAGTATAATTTTCATGGGCTTAAACAAAAAACAGAGCCCACTTGTGAATGTATTTTTTAAACATTTGATTTTTGGGGGAAGAGCTAGTTTGGGGTTTTTTTTAAATTTATTTTTTAGATATGTTGGTCAGTTATCAATGACATACTAATAAAATATTTTATCTAGAAAAATACTGCATGATACTTCATATTCAACAAAAGCCTCAGGTCTCTTCTGCATAACATGAGATTATTAATATCATTAATTCTCATTAGAACAGAAAATGAGTAAGAGTATGATTTGGCAGACATGGAAATGAGATTTGAAAGTTGCAGTTTTATCCATAGAGTAATTGTCCAGAACAGTAAATGCACACCTATGTTTTAAAGAGGTATGCTGAACAATTTAATAGTATAACTTATCCTACAAATTGACAAATTATTATTTATGAGACCATTAACCATAAGGTGCAAATGAAATCCTCTTTCAAAATTTCTCATACATTTTGACAGCTACATTAATTTAAATAAATGTACATGCAGCAGGGCATGTGTTTTTTGTAAACGGTTAGACAATACTTTGATTAGTCAATTATTTATGTAACCCACTCAAATGTTCTCAATCAATTACCAAAAGCACGGATCTTAATTATTTCTTTCCTGCTGGCATTGGATATAAAGTGCCAGGCAACTTCTGAGCAAAGATTAGTCCATTTCAAATGGCAATTATCCTGGCTCTAAAAATATTGACTTGATTTTGGTACTTATTGAAAAAATAATGCCTTCCAGGTAAAACAGAAAGAAAGCTAGCTTTTGTGACCCTTAGCTCTCTCTAACGGATTATGAAGTAGCAGAGGTCAAACATCTCTTGGAACTAAATGAACTCCTCTTTCTTGAAAATCTCTTATTATTACCATAAAACAGTTATATTAATAATATTGAATTTTGATTACCGTAGAGTTATAGAGACTATTTCATCATTTTCTATTAAAGGTATTATGTGAAAAGTTTTAAACAAAGAAGTCACAATAGTGACTTCTTCCTTTTCAGAATCATGCATTAGTTTTTTATACAAGGACATATGTGAAGAAAAATGTGAGCGGAATGAATAAGATGAGATTCAGACATCAAGAGATTCTTTCAAGAGTAGTTCACTGTGAGGCACTTTTTAACCTCTCCTAGATATTTTCACAGTATGCAGGTGCATCTCAATATCCCAGTGAGGTAGTGAAATGCCATCCAGTTTCTAATTATTTGCAGTTTCAAATACAAGACTGGGAATCCAAAGTATACAGAGCCAGATCTAAAATGGTTTTTAATACATAAACACAGACAGAAGCCTAATTGCTCTCATGAATTTTGAGCTACATGATTTTGCACACAATCTCACTACAGGTGCTCTGAGGTTTATTTAACCTCCTAAGAGACAGTCTTTCCTCACTTTTAAACTGAGGTATGAAAAAACCCAACAGTGGTAGACATACAATGTGTACTACAGATAATAACCTTAGTCATGACTTCTTTTTTGTGCTCAGCAAGTAGAGAGAGAGAAACTGAGATTACGGTGATGAGCAGAGGGAGATCTCACAATTTACAGTGTGAGAAATTCTGACTTAATAGCAATCTTTCACAGACAGTTACCAGCTTGCAACAGGTACAAAATATGAAATATCCACAGTCTGTCACCGGAGGATGTGGTTGTTTTTTTCTTTTCTTTTAGATTTGTTACAAAGTCTCTAAAAATCTACTGAATCACCTCTACTTTTCTATTTACATAAACTTTTAGGAGGTTTCAAATCTCAAAGTTAAAGATCAGTCCTACTAAGGGGAGTTATGCAATTTCAACACAAGAGTTGATGTTGTAGATCACACTTCCAAGAAACAAAAGGAAGAAGGTTTTTTTTTTTTTTTTTTCAGAACGCCCAAAGAAAAATCAGTTTTCCTAGCTTCCCAGGATTCACAGAGGGAGCTCAAATAACAGCTAAATCTAGAGTATCTAACGTTGCTTCAGGAGAGCATGGGTAAACTGCTTGTTCATGAGGCGATTGTTTCCAGATCAAAAACTACTGGGACTGGAAGTTGACTAATTCTGTTTCTAAGGGAAAAACCAACCAACCAAACAAACTCCGCACAAAACAATAACAAAAAACCACCACAACAAAACACAACAACAACAGCAAAAACCACCACCAACAACAAAACCAAACAAAAAACCAAACAAAACCCCAAACAAACAAACAAAACCCACAAAAAACCAGAACAAGGCAAAGCAAACAATATTTTTCTCCTGTGTCATAGATTTCTTTCAGGTTTCATGGTCACCTTGTGCCATCTTTTTTCTGTCCTAGCTGTTCAGCCTTATTCCTTATATTACAACCAGGATCTGATTCTGTGCGATCACAGATTTTCAAATAAGAAAAATAAACAATTGTTTGTAATTGAGTGCTTCAATAAATATGTTCTTCCATCCAAAGGCATGTCTTTGTCATCTTAACTCCTGCAGAACCATTTATCGCAGTAATTTAATTTGTGTTTGTCCGTCCTGATTCCTCTAAAAATTCCTACCCACCTACAAAGCACTAAAACTTTAGTTTTACACTTAGAAACAGAATAGAGTACTCACAGTTTGTTATACTCACAAATAAAGAAAATTGCCACATATTTCAGAAGTGCAAAGATAAATTCCTTGCCATTTCTAAAATTTCTGAAATAACACCCCTTTCAGCATGAGAATCAAGGGAGAATTCTCAGGGGAGAGTCACAAACTTTTCAAACATCTACAATGCAAAACTTAGAAGTATCCTAGAGCTCTGAGGCTTATCATCATAGCTTGATCAGTCATAGAGTTCACTAACAGTTTAAAGAATCAATTCACAGTGTTTAAGTTAGCTCCATGGCAATAAATCCTGCAAGTTTATTTAAAAGGAACTACTATTTCAAACAACAAACATTACTATATAAACTGATTGATTTAAATAAAAAGATTTATTCTTTTGAGAGGTTGAGCATATTTTAGAGAGGCATCCTGTACTCGGTAAGGTAACTCAAGTAGAAGACATAATCTTTCCAAGACTGGTAAAAACACTATGAGTAAACCAATTTTTCTGACTGGCCAATACTCTCAGGCATACCTTATCATCAAACAAAAATTATTGCAATCTGTTAAATTTGATTTCCTCTCTGAGTGACTAATGAAAACTCTGTAAATTTAGCCCATAAAGAGGTCACTGTTCTCAAGATGTCTGGAACTACTGTCTGAGCAATCTCTCTCTGTGCCAGACTCACAGTCTAGTGGACGGCCATGAAGATTTATTTCAGTGTTTGGATTTGACAGAGTATGAAGGCTTGTTTGGCAACATAATGAGTTGAATTTGCTTTCAGTTCAGACCTCATTCATATTGCTTTATACTAAGCATTTGCCTTTGGGTTAAATAAAGCAGAGTTAGACTTGATAGCAGGACATTCCAGATTTGGAATTTTGGACACTAAGACAATGAAACACATCAATAAGGGAGTAAGGGAAAGAAAACAAATCACTATTGGCTAACACTTGCTGCACTGATCAAATTACAAACATCAGGGCTAATAATCAATCATTTTGTCTCCAAGTGTTTCTCTAAGTCACTGCAACGCAGTGAGGCAGCTCTTATAATACATGTAAGAAACCCTCACAAGAAGGACTACCAAAGGGTTATTGCACTGATAGAGTCAATATAATTTTCAGCCTTGATATACAATGAATCCAGTCATCTCAGTAAATGGTGTGTTACAGCTGGTGTATTCTAACCCACCACCAGGAAGAAAGCCATAAGTAACACTTTTTTCCCCTAATTTATGAACTCAATGTAATGTAAATTAAAGTTATATAAAAAGCCCCTTCATGGATTATTAAGTTTCTCATTCATGCCATAGCTGGCTCGGTATGGCTGGTCATTGCCAAATATATAACAAAAGATACTGCAACCAGTTCTCAAAAGGCTCCTTGAGAGACTCAAACATTTTTCCAGGAGGAAGAGGTGAGCAATAAATGCTATATGAGGGGCACATTAACGCAAATGACCAAGGCGTACCCCAGAGACCTTCTAGCACCACTACATCCCAGTACAGCTCTGCACTGATAGCTCTTTCCCACTTGAGGATGAACAGATACCAGGCACAGATGGTTCATAGACCTCAAATCTGCTAATGACTTCATTTGGCACATGGAGCACTAGATTAACCATGCTAAACCA